CACAGACACACACACACAGACACTCACACACACACACACTCACACACACACTCACACTCTCACACACACACTCACACACAGACACACATGCACTCACACACACAGTTTCTGGGAGGTAGAGCACTTTGTGAACATTCTGTTCTGATGCTGCACACAGGTCTGATACAAGATGGATTCACACAAGGTCCCTATTACAAGTGTCTCGTGGCTGAAGTCCCAGCGGATCGAGCCTGTCGAGGTAACGGCCTGTTCTTTCCAGTCTCCAGGACATTTTACTTATTGACTGGTGGGATGCGGGACTGGGCCCAGCGGTTGTTGCCCGTCCCTAATTGCCCCTTGAGACGGTGGTTGGGGCTGCTTTCTCGAACCGCTGTAGCTGCAGGAACGGCCCACACAGATAGGGAGGCCACGGTGAGAGCTACGATAGGATTGGGTGGGACTTCTGGTGAGGCCTAACTTCATGTTGGGAGAACCACACCTTTGTATCTTTTACCAATCTCCTGAAGAGCAAGGTGTGCTCCTCACTGGGCTGCAGCGAGTTGCTCATTGAGGGGGATTACAGCTTGTTAAAGACTTTATTGACCCGGTGACACTGAAGGAATGGCCAGCTGTTATCCAAGTCAGGATGGTGAGTGGCTTGGAGGGGAACTTGCAGGGCATGGTGTTCCATAAAGCTGCTTACCTGATCAATGGTAACCCCCAGGATGTTGATAGTGGGGGGATTCAGTGATGGTAACACCATTGAATGTCAAGGGGGCAATGGTTAGATTCTCTCTCAATGGTAACCCCCAGGATGTTGATACTGAGGGATTTGGTGATGGTAACGCTGCCAAGGGAGGATGGATAGATTCTCGCTTGTTGGAGATGGTCATCACTTGGCATTTGTGTGGCGCGAATGTCACTTGCCACTTGTCAGCCCAAGCCTGGATATTGTCCAGGTCTTGCTACACTTGGACACAGATGGCTTCAGTATCTGAGGAGTGGAGAATGGCGCCGAACGCTGTGCAATCATCGGCGAACGTCCCCACTTCTGATGGAGGGAAGAGGAAGCAGCTGAAGGTGGTTGGGGCCTACGACACTGAGGAACTCCTGCAGAGATGTCCTGGAGCTGAGGTGACTGACCTCCAACAACCACGACCACCGACCTACAAGGGTCAGAATCTTACAGAGGACTGAAATGACAAGGGATAATGGTGGGACTTATGACAGAATGGGGCGGAAATTCCAGTCAGGCCTAACTTGGCATCGGGGAAAAAAAAAACACTGTTGCATCGTTTGTGAACTTGCCGAAGGGCAAGGCGTGATTATTGCTTGGCTGATGCGAGTTACCATTTGAGAGGGGATCGTAGCCACAACTGGTCCCATCAATACTTAACCCTGACCTCCCCAATGCTCGGCAGCGAATAGCATCTCAACGGCTCCCTCCATGAGCACCCACCACATCCCTACACACTCTCTGCCCCACTGCCCCCCCGTCCATAGGCACAGGAAGCCCAGCAACGTCAGGGCTGTGTTTCAAGGCAGTGTGAGAGATAGTGAGTGTTGCGAGAACGCTTGTGGTAAGACAATGGGATTTGGCCAGGAATGACTGAGATCCAGCCCCTGGGAACACCACCCGAACTGCAGTTTCCCCTCTGAGCCCGCTCAGCATTCCCATTTGGAAATATAGCAGCTGTTCATACAAGGTCAAAACCCTGGAACTCCCTCCCTAAAGGCACTATCCCTATCCCACATGGTGGACAACAGAAGTTCAAGAAGGTGGTTCACCCCCACCTTCTCAAGGGGCAACTAGGGATGGGCAACAAATTCTAAGCCCGGTCACTTCCAGACAGGTCAATAAACGGTAGAGGTCATGGGTTTGGAAGGTGCTGTCTAAGGAGCCTTGGCGAGTCGCTGCAGTGCATCTTGTAGATGGTACACACTGCTGCGACTGAGGGTCGGTGGTGGAGGGAGTGGGTGCTTGTGGGTCTGGTGCCAATCCAAGAGGGGGCTGCTGTGTCCTGGATGGTGTCAAGCTTCTCGAGCATTGTTAGAGCTGCCC